GCGGACGTGATTGCAGGCAAAGACAAACACATGGTATTAGAGGCGAACCGTTTGAAGTCATTCAAGAGTTGGCCCTTCAGTTCCGGCGATTGCACTAAACATACGGTTTGTTTGCATTGATTGTACTCATGATGTGATGTGTGGATGTGTTTGCGGTGATGTGTAGGTGAGTGGCAGTGGTTTCTATCACTGCAATATGTCTGGAGAAGTGGATGGCGTCCGATGTTTCTGCTGTATGAAAGAGTTGGACGGTTGGGACCAAACAGACAACCCGTGGACTGAACACAAGCGCAACAATAACTGCTATTTCGCACATTTGGGCAAAACTCAGACCAAACTGACGGTCAAAGAGTTCCTCAAAGTGATGGAAGAGCGAGAGGTCAACCTTTTGGTATGTCTCACACATTGTCACCATTGAATCCAATGAGACTATCATTTGTTTGATTCGCAGAACAAACGGATTGAAGCGATGAATGCAATGGAGAAGAAAACAATCGCCGAATTGGGTCTCAATAGTGACGACAATTAATTCAATGCTTAAAATTATTTATTATTTTTTACTTTTAATAACAATAAATAAAACAATTATCTTTTTATAAATGTTAATAAACTCTATAATATATTAATAGTGGTATTAATTCTATAAATTTTTGTATCTAAAAAACATTTGACAAGAATATCAAAACTAAAATATTGGCGTTTATATCAATTTTTGTCCACAAATATCTGAGAATCAATTAAATAACTCATACAAAAAATTATAGCGAATATAACAATAAAAGCAAACGCAATAAACTATTGATTGTCACAAAACAATACATTCATTAATGTTATTGTGATAAATAAAAACTACTCTAATATTAAACAAAAACAATGATATCATTTCATATAATGGCACTCAACTGTTGTGACAAAAGTTTGTTTTAAAACCAGTTATCAAAATAAGAGTATCAATATTACAGACTAAACGAGTCTTATAGTGAACACCGTTTGTGTCAATTACTGGTTTGTATTACACAATCACAGGTTTAGTTAATCAAATCAGAAGACAGTATTCAATGGTTATATAAGAGGGTTTTCTGTTACAAATTATAAGTTACACATATGTAAAGCAAATAGATATAGAAAAACAATTAAATAATAATAAGTAAAATCTATGCCATTCTAAAGATATTATTCAACTCATACATTAGGGTCTCGTGTCTATACATAATCCTAATTCCGGGAACATTAGTGCGTTTAATGTCATTACCGGCCACTCCTTCAGCCTTATAATTAGGTCCAATCCAGTGCTGTTTAAATTCGTGCGGAAAGCCCGACATTATAACACTATTGCGGGCCAACTCACACATATCACAACTGCTCAGTTTCCATACCTGAGCCGCGATTGAATACTCTTCCATCAAAGGCTCCTAAAATATCATTTAAAGTGATATTAGAGTGGAAACAAGATTTGAAGTAAAAGAATTGCATACTTTAGTGAAGTGGAATTGCAAGGGATCGTCGGTTGAGAGCGAGACACAGAGACCACGATATAAGAACTCAGGCAAAGGGTTTCTGTGGTAATTGAGAAACAATGAGTTGTTAGAGAGCGGACTCATCGCTATTCCGATTTGCGCCAAATAGTAGAGATATTGAAGGACTGGCACTTTGCGTAGTGATAGGCCATGAGATATGTTTTCACTCAATAGGAAACCTCCGACTAAATGCTGAATATTTCCGGCTTCTCCGCAATGCGGACGCAATACAAATGTATTAAAACCTCGTTCTCTATAATTAAAATCACAATTATATATATTATAAGAATTATAAGAATTAAGTGTTTGTCTCACTTTCTGAAATGGTTGAGAACACACATATTTGCGTACATATAGTAGAGATAATAATTGCTACAAATGGACAACAAATTGTAATATCATATAACATAGAATTCAATCATTTGAATGCATACTACGGAGGATTCTCTCCATCAGTCCATTTGGGAGGAATCTGTATCTCTTTGTCAAACAACGGATTCTCATGTTTGGACTCGTCGTCCACCGAATCAAATCCAATCACATACTGAAGAAAGCAATGGAGTTCCGGATGAGAGTTGGGATTACTGGTCGCTTCAAACAGAGGTAGAAATAGATTTTCCAGCATTTGCTCAAAATTTTCCACCAATTTGTTCGCCCGGTATATATCACTAGAAAATTTGAATTAATTTCGTTAACTATTTATTAAACACTCAATTAATGTATATTTACTAAAGCCTTGGTATTTGAATAACCCATCGAACAGTGTCTGAATAGACATTGTTCTTAAGCGCCCATTTGGCCAAATTGTTCCACTCGTCCGGCTTTCGGCCATAAATCGAGAGTCTATTCATTTGAGAATACAATTAGAATCTAAACTAATAGTTGTGATGTAGATGTAAACCAACCTAAGTTCAGCCTGTTGGTACTTGGATTCCTCCAAATCCATCATCACTTCCTAATCACAAGTCATATACAGGTATTTAAATAAAATATATGTATTTTTAAATAAGAGACAAACCTTAAGGATTTCCGCATAATATTCGCCATTAATATAATTATCAGTTTTAAGAAATATTTCTCTCAAACGGCTTTCGCCGATCGGATTGTATTTAGTGTTGAATTTATCAAATCTGTGAAACGTGTTTCTGTCGGCGTGAACGTCAAGCATATCAACGCTCAGATCATAGGACGTGAGTTGCAATATATTGAACACCTGTTCCAGAGTCAATGGTCTGCCGTTCTCATCGAGACAAACCCTGTCGTCTTTACGCGTTTTGATGGTCTTCTTAATGAATCGCAACAAATGCTTTTGGTTCATACAGGAGGCCGCGTGAACGTGAGTGTCCACTTTGCGCACGTTGTAGAAGTCCCGGTGCGCCACCTGTTTCTGGGCCTTCAGCTCCTGTAAGTCGTTCAACAGGACGTGGAGTTGAAATTTGTGCGACAAATACGCCAATCGTTTAAACGAATACGACTTGAGTGGTCCGTCAGCGATGGTTCGGCACAAGAACTTCATGTCATCGATAAAGTGATTGAATGTCGTGACCGGATAGGGAGCCCCTATAAGAATCATACAATCGTTACATAAGAGAGAGAGAGAGAGAGAGAGAGAGAGAGAGAGAGCGCTTACGGTGCCCGTCGTCGAGTTCTTCTTTGCTTTTATAGACTCCGACGACTCCGTCCTCTATTCGTAATATATAGTTGAGATCCGGAGGAATGGTTGCACTCCACGGGTCGCCAATAACTGGTGGTTCATCGCAATCAACTGATAATATCGATGCAATTATTAGTTATTATTGGTTGCCATTAGTTATAAAATGTTTAATATATTCAAGGATTGGATGTATTATTAGTGTTAATGAGTTTCTATCGCTTATTTCCACTGCAAACCAGAAATACCTGACCATCGCTTGTGGACACGGATTGGTCTGAAAGCCAAGTCATAGGATCGTATCTTAGAGGCCGAGAGCGGGACCTTTGGAAGAAACGCATAACTATAGCAATGAGAAGACTCACTGTTTTCTGGTGTTGTCTGCGGTTTGAATGTCTGGTGAATGAATTGTCGCGTCGTATCGCAAAAACTCTGTTGAGATTCAGCCATATATCGGTCGCGAAGACGAAGAGCTTTCCGGAGACTCCGGTTTTGGGACTTTTGTTCCTCCGATAAAACCTAAACATAACATAACATTCAATTGTTCAGTAAATATGTCCACAATTGAGACAACGGGTGGCGGAAGCGGTCATACCGTTGGCTGATCTATAGTACACGTGCCCACAAGAGGGTCCGAATCGGGTCTGATCTTCGAGATGTACTCCAGAGGTCCCAAAGCGAACTCCTCTTGTGTCGGGTAAAAGACTGGACATTCGGGCGGAGGTATGAACTCGAAGTCGTTGGTAGTGTTGGAAGTGTTGGCTGAAGTGGTGTTGGATTTGTTGTGGTGTTGAGGGATATCGGGTGTCGTCGTAGCCGTGGATTCATTGCTCACGCCATCCGTCTCTGCCGTTGCCGTACAACTGGTCGGAGCCGAAGAATTGGTACTCATTGTAGCGATTATGTCATAAGCGATCACTTTATCGCTAAATCCAATGATAGTGTCTTAAGTTAAGAGTGGATCAAATCATGTGATAAGTGGTAAAAGTGGCCAAAAATGGCGTTTTTTAGTCAATAAAACAAAACAAAAACACTTTTCAAAGCCTTTTAAACA